CACACACACACACACACAACATAGAATGCTTACCCATATTTATCTCTTGCTCTCCACCAATGAACATCATTCTTTTCTAATATGATATACTCTTCCCCTCTCTCTAATCTGAGATCATGTGCTTCTGTTGCCTGGAAATCATACATTGCTACAACTACTTCTTCACTATTATCTTCTTCTTCAGGAGGAATTGGTGGGGGAGGCCTTCGCTACAAAAAAAAAAAAAAAGAGATAACAAGAGAGTCTTCTGTTGTAATTGGGTATGAAGCGAAACACTAACTGTTTCACACATCATCATGGAACAAAGCAGAAGCCTCGATGCTGCCTAGTATCATCTAGTTTCCCCTCCCATGAGCTTGAAGATGTTGATGCTACTGTAGCTCTCATGGGTTTCAGAATATAGGAGATAAGCAAAGACTGTCATTAAACAGTGTCAGGGATAGTTTTTCAGGGAGAGAAGCAGGTGATATGTGAGTAGAAGCCCAGAGACTAAAAATAGACTGACCATGCCAATGGTCTGCAATAAAGAAACAACTCACTACGGAGTCTTCTATCAGGTCTCCTCCCACTCAAAAGAATTTGCACTTCTTCATGTCTACTCTGAGATAGGCATACCGCTTAGTGCCTAACACAGATTTTTCCCATGTATTTCAAATACCTACCCCATGAAGCGGAGTTCTGTGATTTTCATTTTATAACTGAGAAAACAATGCTTTAAATAACCCACCAAAAGTCACTCATGTCAGACTCACTTCAGGTGCTGTCTGAGTCCAAAGTGCATGTTTTTCCCACCATACCTCATTCCTCAAAGGCATGTACTGAAGTGACTCACTCCTTCTCCTAAAACTGAAGTCTGAAGCTTGAAATTTTCTTTTAAAGTCCCACATATCTTCTATAACTCTTTAAGCCAAAATATAAGGCCCCCATAGATAATATATGATACAATTAAATTAATATGATTTGATACCAAGAAAAAATAAAATAGCCCATCTACCTCTGATATTAAACATGATCCTGGGGGAAGACAGCTGTCACACGAATGAATACAAACATGCTCAATAAACTACAAATGTTTCCAAAAGTTCAAGCCCTCCTACCTTCTTTGTTTCTGGTGCTGGAGGTAGTGCTTTTCTTATACCTGAAAATGATGACCAGAAAAACCAGCTCAAAAATGCTATCTAACAACAATCAATAAAAATAAGATAATGCTATTTTAAAAAAAAATTTTATTGTGATTTGGGTGAAAGTTTACAGAGTAAATGTGCTTTCCATACAGCAGCTCACATACACTTTGTCTCATGACATTGACTACAATTTCCCACAATGCAGCAGCTCCCCACCCACTTCCTCCCCATAGTTACCTCTTCCCTGTATCCTTTCCTCCCTTGTACTCCTGTCCCCCAAGCTGTCTCCCTGTGCATGCACAGCACTTCTATTCTCCCATGATTGATCTCTCCAAGGAGTGTATCTACCTAGTGTAAATGTTCAAGGATAATGTTATTTTTAAGGAAAAGTTAGAATAAACACAAAGATGACAAGCTCACTCTCATCTTGTCACTCTGGCGCTTATTGCTTCTATCACTATTCTAGAACAGAATTAATCACTGCTGTCTTTTGTAGCAGGAGCTCTGGTAGAGCAGTGGTTAAAGTATTGGGCTGCTAATAAAAAGGTTGGTGGTTCAAATCCACCAGACACTCTGTGGGAGAAAGATGTGGCAATCTGTTTTCGTAAAGATTTACAGCCGTGGAAACCCTATTGGGCCATTCTACTCTGTCTTATAGGGTCACTATGAGTTGCAATCGCCTCCATGGCAGTGGGTTTGGTTTGGGTTTTGTTTTTTTATGGCTGGTTTTTATTTCTGTCTCTGGTAGCATAGTGGCTAAGGCACTTGACTGCTAACCAGAAGGCTGGCGGTTCAAACCCACCAGCCACTCCTCAGAAGGAAGGTTGGGC